GGATAGCTCCTCGATGGAATCTCGGTCAAGCAGCAGACGCCAGGTCTTACTCTGCAACCCGGCATCTGTGCGAGGCCTGAGCGGCGCCCAGACGACGCGCTCAGACACTCGGTGCAACCTTTCTCCGACAAGTAAATAAACACCACGCAAGTAGACTCTATAGCTCTCTATCGAATACAACCTCTTGTATACCTCGCGATTGCTCCCTAGAGCGCAGCCCCTTACACTTAGCTACTTACTAAAAAAGCTATAGCTTGTTATAGGCGAGAGAGGCCTAACTAACTAGTATGCATTCACCTATTATATAGAAGAAGAAAGATATAGAAAAGAACTATCTAGAGGGCCCTCCTTTTATAGTTATTATTTGTACAAACGCTTAGACCTTTAGTCTTGTAACGGGCTAGGTAGCCCGCTACAGTACAGATAGCGGTGGCTATCTTATGTATCAACTACGCAACGATATCAGCAGCTCTGATATCTTGTGCCAGCCTTTTTGGCGCGGTGGGCGCGTTGTAGTTGCGTGCGCAGTCTAATAGGACTCGACCCGTTACACTAAGAGCCTATTTTAGGCTAGTTTTTAGGCTATATAGAACACTAAAAATTAAGCAATATAGCTAGTTTTTAAGCCTTACTTTTTTTTACTTTTATAACTTCTGTTTTAGCTGCGCAACACTACTAGATTTTTATTAACATACTAGCTATCTTTACGCACTAGAACTTACTATAGTACGGCTATATTATAGTAAGTAATATAAAATACTACTAATGTTTTAGCTAAGCCTACTAATGCAGACCCCTGCTCAGTGGTAGGCTAGATAGCCGCTTAGTGGTAGGACGAATAACTTTTGCCCATGGCCACTTGCTTTTTGTCCAGGAGATCAAATCGACGCCGACCCCCATCAATGTTGGCGAGATTAGCTCTTGGTTCCTGATTACTCAAGGCCCGACATGGCCAGCAGCCCCACCGGGAACCTACATATACGAGAGAGTAAGCTGCCAATCACAACAGGCCCGGACTAAAAAAGGCGCGGAACATCCTGTGTTGGGTATCATTGGGTCAATTGTGACCTACGTATCTACTAGTACATGTTACTGCCTGCTTCCCCGAACAATCGCTATAAGCGCACGACCAAGCACCCGCTCGCTTTTCATACCCAAACGCCGCAGTAGGCCCAAAAAAGAAACCAAGTTGGCCCACCCTCTAAAAGGCATACAGACCTCTCATGTTCCAAATTGCCTCGTCAATCATACTCGGCGTCCATTCCGCACCAGTCAGCTGACCCGCAATGCTCTCCCTCTTGTCCCGAGGAAGGACCAGGAAGCGTTCGATGAGGTCGCCGTCAATGACACTTTTGACAGGTGCATAGTAGCTGCGGAACGCGAGATGGTCGCGGCCAGACAGCGGCTTGTCGTCCGTGCGCAGTTGCAGCTCCAGCTGCTGGAACATTTTGTGCTGGCGGCGTGAGTTGAAAGGAATTAGTGCGCCAAGGGTGCCCTGAAGACCAGCCCAGAATACGATGCGTTCACCCCCTGAAAGCAGGACCGTCTTCTGTATTGAAATGGGAATGTCGTTGGTGAAGTAGTGCGCGATGAGATCAAGACGATTGGGAGTGCCACCCAAGTAGCTCTTATCCACGAGGAGATCAGAGCCGTCTGGAGACTCGTCGGAAGATTCAGATACCTTCTGGGGGCAGCGCACAAGCCATATGTTGCCAAACTTATCGCCACCCACAGTCGTGTCGTAGTCCAGCATCTCTGACGCCGTAGTGTGACGAGCAACGGTATCGTCGACAAAGGGGATGAGGCGGTTGGGGTGAACCTGCTCCTTGTGCACAACATACGTTACAGACTGTGCTTGATCCGAAACAACCAACCGACTACCCTGGGTTTTAATACCAGTGATGCGAGTCGGTACGCAATTGGGTGCCTGCGCCTTACGGAGAACCGACTTCATACCGCAATCGTAGAGGCATAGGTGACGTCCGACACCAGCGATCAGTTTGCCCTTGAATGCAAGTAATGCTAGAGGCGGATCACTGACCGCGGTTTCGTGGAAAAATTCTAGCTCGCGCCCAGTTGGGTTGATCTTGTACACCTGAATGGATGCGGCCGAAAACGTGTATGGTGTGAAGCTCAAATCCTTTGCAGTACCAACAGCAAGGAACGCTTCGTCGCCACGGCTCTCAAAGAATACGAGGGCAGCACTGACGAGTGATTGGTTGCCGCTGAGTTCAACAGTGTGAGTGACCGTCTTCTCAGTCACAGGATCGACTACTTGGATGCAAGATGCCCAGCTGCCCTCGGCTCTTGGGTAGCCAAAGTCTACTGCAGGAAACTCTTCGCTGTTGGCCGCGCCGCCGTTAGACTGCTCAATTTCCATGGAGCCATTAGCGCCATCCTCCTTCTTGGCACCACTCTGTGCCATCAGCTGTTGGCGTCTTTCAGCATGGATGGTGTTGTTATCGCTCTGAATCACATAGAACACGCCTTGCTCGTGATATCCTACCATCTTCCTCGGTGTGTACTTCAAAGGTATGCTCTCAAAAGTGGTGTTATCCGTCAAGTCGTTGAAAGTAAAGATTCTGCCGTAATTAGCATTTGGGTTTGAAGCCAAACAAGGTAAAGACCAAACAGGTGATTGCGTTCAGTAGGAACAATTGGAACCAAAAGGTTTGAACCCTCATCGTGTTTAAGGAGTACAAGTATCATCACTGCAATCATGAGAGGAAAGAAGAAGAGTTTTGCTTACCGTAACTCATTAGCGCTCACACAGATGATTCCCTTAAATTGTGAGCCATCAAAGTTCCACGCAGACTTGAATGGAATGTAGTTCAGCGGTGTGAGCTGCAGTACTCCAGTACGAGGATGGGTATAGCCTAGCCATGGCCGTGAAGTCATTGCTAGGATAGCAGGCTCACCGGCGACGGCCACCTTGGCGAATTTGATGGGCTCAGGGCCAAGGAAACGCCTCCGGGTATCGCCGATATCACCAGTCATTTCATCTAGTACAGAGCGAATGTACACACCACTTCGCAGACCAATGTGAAGAAATTGACTATATCCACGAGGCGACTTGTCCGTCATCAGGTTGATTGTCAAGTCGCTTGGCGGCGACGTGAGTGCTTGGACGGAGATGCCTCGCAGGATATTGCCCTCCATGTCAGGACTCAGGTTGAATATCCTCACAGTCTGGTCACTGCAACCAACTGCCAAGAAGAAGGCACGCACACTACCCTCTGGGACATCGGGCATTGCAAGACAGTTGATGGTGCTGTCCAAGGAGATCTCTTCTTCCGCCATGGCAAGCGACCCGTCGGAATCGCACTCAAAGTACAAAATCTGTCCAGAGCTGAGTGCGATTGCGACTTGCCGGTTGTTGGTTGCACACGCTACAATAGTGCGGTGCGCAGGAGGTTGCCAATCAGTCAGGCTAGCGTGCGTCGCGCTGGCATCGTCGTTGGGGAACTGAATGCCCTGAATGTGTCGGATGCCCTTTGGGTGAATCTGGATGATGCAGTCCTCGCCAAACTGCTGTACACCAAGGGTGTTTGTGTCTGGAAGAAAGCCAGTGTTGGAGGCTTCTTCAACATCATCACCGATCTTCAAAACGAGCGTTCTGCTGTGGAGGCAGAGGACAATGAGAGTGTCGGTCTCATCTTCACTCGTCAGCTTCGTTGTCCAGACATCAGAAGCGTTCTGTGGCAAGGGTGACTCGATGAGATCCAAAACTTCCAGAGCATTCCTTGTGGTACGGAAGGAGCTGCGACCACCAGTGCCGTTGATAGTGTATATCTGTGGCGCATCTTCCAATGCAGGATTGGCGACTTCCATGCCCATAATCGGATTGAGGCTGGGCATGGACTCTACAGCAGTGAGGTTGACCAGAGCACGAGGCCGGAAGAACGGAGGTGCGAACGAAGCCTCTGGGTCAATGGGAAACTGGTCGCTTTCAAAGACCGGATCCGGAGTCTCGTCACCGAGTGACTCCAGCTCATAGAGAATGCGATCCCCAGACTCACAGGCAGCGTAGACGAAACCGGCCCTGAGAATGCAAATACTTGTCGTGACTGGAATCGTGTCAAAGTACTTGATCTTGATCTTCTCGACCGTGCCGTTGGGCGCATCGACAGTAAGCTTGAACACGTCGCCATCCTCTGTCTGCAAAAGGTAGAAGAAATCACCTCCTTTGAGGGAGTACAAGGTACCGGCAACAATCATCCGCTTCCGATTGGGGTCCTCGGTCGCTCCTTCGCGGCGCGGAATCGCCAAACGGCGAACGCTCGACTTGTTGTTGAAAATCCGACGGTATGTAATACTGTCCTCTCCGCAACACAAAACACCACTCGGCGCATTCGGGCCTCCTGGTACACGGAAGAGAGTGTTTGCCGTGCGATCGACTGGCTCCGACCATTTCCGTACGATGTGGTTGAGACCGAGGTCCAGCTCGTAGTACACCAGCTCCTTCTTGATCTCATCATAGGCCTCGCCCGTAGGATCAGTCTCGGAGTTCGAGTAGTCTACTTCGAGCGTGGCAAACATGGGGTTGTCGTAGCCAACGTCGAGACCGATGAGGCAATACACAAGCGTTTGCGGCTTGTGCGCCTCAAGCGGTGATGAAATGGCAATGTCGGTCTGGCCACTTCGGGTGAGAATGTAGACAAGCTTGTTCTTCTCCGTCGAGGCAATCATGATAGCGCGCCCTTTCGGGTCGGCTGCCAGATACTCGCCCGGCACGACACGTCGTATTCCAGACTTGCCGAATGTCTCGAAGTGGAGCGTCTTGAACGTGTGCTCATCCGGGAGGTACTCGTATGTCACCAAACGTCCGGAGTCGGTGGTTATGACAATGTGGTCTTACAGAGTCAGCAAGGCTTCTTAGTAGGAAGTGCAGTCCAGTCCACCGCGGGCTCAGGGAGCGGCGAGCTCGAAGGTGTCGTGTGCTTTGAAAATCACTATACTGCTTGTAGCGGGGGAAGGGGGAGCGACATACCTTTGGTGCCGCCCGCAATTCTAAACTTGGCTATGCGACGAATGATGCCAAACACATCTTGGGAGTAGAGCTCTTGGAAGCCCTTCTGTCGCCGCGAAACCTCGAGGATTGCTAGCCGCGAGCCGCTCGCAGTAAGAATCTGCTGCTTGCCGTTTCCGAGGAAGTCACCAGAGATGGCGTCTTGTGTCGCTGTGGGCTGCTTCACCGTCAAGGCGTACAGCGACATGGAAGAGAAGCTCGTCATGATGGACGACGGCGGGCGCTGGCCCAGGTATTGCTGTTGCGTCTATGGTTCGGGGGCGCCTGGGCTGGTCTCGAATCAAGGTGTACAGCACAAGATCCAGATAGAGCTTGCGAGTTTGTCAAAGGTGAGTGCGCGCCAGTGTGGAACTGCGCGGCGGGAGAAAGCTGACGCGGGCAGGTCGAGCATCTGAAATCTTTACGCGCAAAGAGGCCAAAGCTCCTCGGATCCAGTGTCGGTCCGACCCAGCCAATTGGTGGCATGGCCCCACTAAAATTCTACGTCGCAAAGTCTACCAGGGCGCAACGGCGACGCGAGTGAACAAGTCGCCAGGTACAGATTGACTGCCGTACCCGACCGCTGAGCCGTTCACAACCACCTACCTAGTCCGGAACAGTCCTCTTTGCCAGACTTCAGCTTCGCCCATCGTCCGCCAGCGCACCTCGCTCCGCAATCATGAAGCGCAAAGTAGGCGCTTTGGAGAAGCTCGAATCGGACCATGCTGCGCTGCGATTCAAGCTGAAGAGGGACCCTCAGTCATACAGGGACGACTTTGAGCAGCAGTACCAGCAATACCGGACACTGCTGGACTTGTTCCTCGCCGACCCCTCTACTACAGACGGAGGTCTTGTCGCGCTGAAAGAGTAAAGCCACCACTTGTTGTGCGGGGAAAAGACTAATTTCCTTCTTTCAGTCTCATAGAATTCGTATCGCACACGGCGAACCTATACCCCGACCTCACGCTACCCGAATTTCCACAGAGTCTTATAGACCTGCTGGCCACGCACCATGAAGTCCTTGAAATGGATCTGCGCGACAAAGTCGTTGGCGCCATCTGCCTGCTCAAGAACAAGGATGTGATCGACTCAGTCACTCTTCTCAACACATTGTTTCCAATTCTGGTGGCGACGAACTCAAAGTCGCTCCGAGCTTTACTCTTCCAGAAGATTGTGTCGGATGTCCGGTCTTCAAATGCGAAAGCCACGAATCACAAGGTCAACAAGGCGCTGCAGACGACCTTGTATAACCTCCTCGAAGCCGACACGACTTCCCCACGCGGTTTTCTAGCTGTTAAAATCGTAAGGGATCTATGGAAGCGCCAAGTATGGGCCGATGCGAGGACTGTCGAGGTGATGCGATTGGCTGCGTTGAGCGATAACGAGAAGACTATTGCAGGTGGAGTCAGGTTCTTCCTGGGTGGTGACCAGGAGAGAGAGGCAGCTGCCGAAGATAGCGACGACGATAACGAGTTGGACATGGCCAAATTGAGACATCAAGTGGGCATCAACAAGAAGACCAAGAAGAAGTCACGCGAATTGAAGCAAGCCGCTGCTACTATGAAAAAGAAGGAGAAAAAGAAGAATGCTCCACAGTAAGTGCCATTGTGCCAGGCTTCTCTGTCGAAAGCTAATCAATTGTTTCCACAGCCCATTGAATTTCAGCGCCTTGCACCTTCTCCACGACCCCCAAGGCTTCGCCGAGACGCTTTTTTCAAAGCACATCCAAAATTCGAAGAACAAACTTTCCCTTGAGACGAAGCTCTTAGCCCTGCAGCTTGTGACGCGGCTTGTTGGATTGCACCAACTCACAGTACTACCGCTGTACTCGTATTTCTTAAAGCACCTCACACCTCGGCAAGCGTCAGTCACCACTTACCTCGCATGCTTAGCGCAAGCTACCCATACATACGTACCGCCGGATGTCCTCGAGCCACTGATCCAAAAGATTGCAAACGAATTTGTGTCGGAAGCATCAGCCTCTGAGGTTGCGGCAGCAGGATTGAACGCTATTCGTGAAATATGCGCACGCCAGCCCCTGGCCATGACGGACACACTGCTACAAGACTTGGTCATGGTATGCAAAATTCCTTCTACTTCGTTCCTAGGCCATTCGCTAACAGTTACAGTACCGTAAATCGAAGGACAAGGGCACAATGATGGCCGCCAAGGGTCTCCTCTCGCTATATCGCGAAGTTGGTGCCGACCTCCTCAAGAAGCGTGATCGTGGCAAGGACGCGACAATGGGTATCCGTGCCGGCACAATTCAAGAGCGACGTTATGGTGAAGAAGCCATTGGCGAGATTGAAGGCATTGAACTCCTCGAAAAGTGGAAGGAGGAGGAACGCAGGAAAAAGTTAGAAGCTGCTGGACTGGACCCTGACGCAGACAACGGCGATGTTGAGCTCGAGGACGACGAGGACGACTGGAAGAAATGGGAAGTAGAAAGTGACGGTGACAGTGACGACTCTGGAGGATGGATCAACGTGGAGAGTGACGGTGAAGACATTCAAATCAGCGACTCGGAAGACGAAAAAGAAGACAACAAGGAGCGGCCAAGCAAGAAAGCAAAACTCAACAGCGCAACACCCGCACCAGGCACAGACGCCTCCAAGAGCGAGGAACCAGAAGCCAAATCCATATCCAAGCTCCTCACCACGACCATCCTCACGCCCGCCGATCTCAAACAACTGCAAGCCCTCCGCGCCTCATCCACCATCACCTCGTCGCTGGCCTCGCACAAGCGCGCCCAGCTCCTCGCCGCGCGCCACCCCGACGAAGCCATCACAGCCGAAACCATCGAGCTCGCGGCCTCGCTCGGCAAAAAGAACACAAAGGAAGAGAAGATCGCAATGGCAAAACAAGACCGCGAAACAAACCACATGTCGCAGACAGCCAAGCGCAAGGAAAAGCGCCATGCAGAGGGCAAGAGCACTACCAACCAGGACAAGGCTCGCAAGAAAAACTTCATGATGACCCTGGGTAAGGCTAAGAGCAAGAATAAGAGGAGCTTGGGCGATGTCAAGAAGACGCTGCTGGGACATGTGGAGAGGAAGAAGAGGGGTGGGAAGAGGGGAAATAAGGGGCATTAAGTGTTTTTGTGGTTTGTGTATGTGTATGTGATGGATGGGGGGTATATATGTTGTTCGTCTCTTTGGGAAAAGTTCATACATGGACATGGCAGTAGTGAAGAAGAAGAAAAAATTAGACTCCACGATACCCGGATACACGCCTCATGAATAGGATGATTTGTCCTTTCTGCATGTTGAAAGTTTGGACATGGTGCTTTTGGCAGACTCGATCTTTGTATAGAGGGGATGCGGCATCGCACTCTTGTACGTACATGAAAGACTCTTTGCCTTTATATACATATACTCTCTCTCTCTCTTTCTTTCTCTCTGTTAGGCCTTCTCTTCTGTTCTCCTTTCTGCTGTCCATTACATTACACCGCTCGCGGTCCCCATCCCAGTTGCAGTCCCAATTACTGCCTTCACTTGAAGAAACAACTCTTCCGTTTCCATCACTACGTAATAACAAAACTAAAGAAAAGACAATTACACATACCACTTGCCTTGCCCGGATACTTGGGTCACACTCCCCCTCTCCATGCTGCAATGCCATATATCGATTTCGTTCCATACTGATTTTTGTATTCGAAGCCGTGTGTTCTAAGTGATGAAACAAACAACCCGTATTATGTGCTTGGTACACGCGACATCCATCACACTCGATGGGAATAAGATGTGCCGGGGGAGGGGGAGGAGATTAGCAGCGGATATCGGATTTTGCCACGTCCAGTTGACATGTACTCAGGAAGTAAACGCGACTACTTCGCATTGTTCAGGCTCGCTTCTGCTTCTTCTTCTTCTTCTTCGTCGACGTCGGCGTTGTGCACAGCATGGGTAGTTAGATTTTTGTCTTCCGAGCCACGTTGCTGAACTGGATTCGAGAGTGTCTTGTCCGGATTATCGCGTGTCGGAGGAAAACTTGCGACGGAGGGAGAGGTGGGTGCAGCGACGCCATAGACGTCAGCGACACCGTGTCCAGTGCCATCTTGCCACATATCGGCTTTGGCTGAAAAGACTTGTCTCAGTCGTTTGTCGTGCTCATTCAAAGCTGTGGGCGGTAGCGTCGGCGTTGGAGTTGGCTGGGTGTCTGGACTAGTAGCGTTGGTGGTATCTCTCTTCTTGCGCGCACTTGTGTCCTGAGATTTGGAATCTGACCATGCAGCCATGTGCTGATTGAGGAATGCTAGCATCGCTTGGATATCCTTTTGTAAGCCTTCTTGATTGGTTGAGTGTGGGTAGATTTGAAGCAGAGATGTCATGAGCGACGTGCACTCGATCAAGCGGGGGATGTTCAGTGTCGGCTGGGGTTGGGGTGTTACTGGCTCACTTCTCAAGGAGTTGCTTTGAGGGGTTGATGATAGTCTGTCGCCTCTTATCTGAATCAGACCACGCGTAGCAGGCTCAATATGCGTAGTGAATTGTTCACTTCCACCGGTCGTAGTATCATCGGGGTTGGTGTTGGTGCGTCTCTGCTGGTGCGGAGATGTTCTTGGTAATGACCGAGTATATTCGACAACCTTCTTACGGAGAAGTTCCTCGTGCGGAGAAGGAGCCACAGGATACAGCGTTGGCGGAATTGGAATCTGCTGATACGGAGCATAGACTGTGGGAAAGCTTGGCTGGCTATACTGCTGCGCGAACGTCTGCACTGGAACAGGATATTGTATTTGGAAAGGAACAGTCGGTGCATTGTATCCCCAAGCGGTGTTATGACTGAATTGAGGGGCGGAGCTCGTCCTCATATTCATCGTTCGGTAGGTGTCATGACTCTGGTGGTTGTGGGGCATGCTTCCATTGGCAGGCAACCCTGGTAAGCCTGGCCTCAGAACGCCATAGTTGTACAGGTTCCTATACCCGTTATCAATAAACCTGTGAGGTTCTGGCAACTGTCTATCGCGGCGCTTTCGTTTCGAGGCTCGGACTGTTGGACGAGGGGGTGACGAGTTCTCGTTGACGACGATCGGGTCATGGGAGCTACCACTCATACTGACGGACGGCTTCGAAGCCAGAGTTCTCACAGTGGTAAGGTTAGTTGGATTAGAGCGATCGGGTGAGATATTTTCTGTTTCGGGTGCTTCCGTCGAGCGAACCTTCGAGACCTCGTCGGTGATGGGTGAAGTGAGACTTGCATCACGTTCACTAGGGTTATCCGAGAGCGCTGATTTTGGCCGAGTACCGGGCACTTTTGTACCCACTCGGATGATCTTGACCCTCTTTCTAGAAGGCTTCTGAACTTCGATGGTATCGCTGCTCAGTTGAGTGAGTCTGGTCTTCTCGATGCTAATAGCCGGACGGTTTGCGTTTGCGTTTGCGGTGCTTCGCCGAGTGGTGACCATGATTCTTTCGTCTTGCCTCTCGAGGTATCACTGCTAACGACCAGAGATATACCACCTCTTCCCGATTTTTCACTGAATTGGCATAAGACAATGCCGTGGTATGCTCGATTGATGGAAACGGTCACTTGGAAAGCTGTGTTCGTATTGTGCACGCGTTGCAGTGGTCAGTAACTCGAAGAAGAACTTGAGAGGCCGGGAATCAGCACGACTCGTAAACAAAGTTATGATGTTCCCTATATGATGATAGAAGGTGCTGCGTGTGGGGGAAGGGACACCCATTGTGTCAAGGAAGGCGCAACTCGCACGAAGAGCCGATATTGAGTCGAGGAACATGGGGAGAAAATCACAAAAGAAATGGGAGATTTCAGCAGTCAATCTGTTGCCAAGAATGCACGAAGCTTTGCCAGCTCTTCCTGGTCATCAAGTCCATTGACAACCCGATCAATCGCGCCATCATCCCACACAATGCCATGCCAAAGCAGCACGCCCATGTCTCGCATGAGTCTTATCTCGTGTTCGCGCGCTTTCAAGTCCGGCGCAGCAGCGAATAGGCGCGACCAAAACAACTCTCGGAGTCGTGCTGTTTCTCTAAAGTATACCCATCTAGGCACAGTGTCCGATGAGGCTGGCAGCAGGTATCCGAGCAAATGCTCGAGTCCATATAAACACGTCCCAAACGGCAGAAACTCTGCCTCGGCCCAGTCGACCACACCGGTGATCTCCCACCGGTTCTCGCCAACGAGAATATTCGATGGTATGAGATCGCCGTGATTCAGAATAGTGGGGTAGTCTATCAGATTTTGCACAGCTGATAGTACCTTCTCTGCTCTTTCTCTCAAGGCTGCGTCGGGCAGCTCTGCAGCGAGCTTCTCCAGCCTGTAGATGATGCTTGAGCCGACTTTGCCGCGGCACTGTGAGAGGACGTTGTCTGTGATATCTTCCATGGGCGAGTCAGCTCGCGTCGCTCTGGCTATCGGTGACGCCGGCACTTTCGATGCAGATTGCCAGCCTTGCACTATGAAATCGGCAAAGCTCGTAATCAATGTCTCGAGTTTTGCTTGCGCTTCTGCTGTCAAAGTGCATGTACGCGGCAGCAACCAGCGGAGAGGTGTACCAGCAAGTTTGTCCATTCCGTAAGCTTTCAGATTTGCCGGTAGATATAAGTCCAGGACCGCGACGGTTGGTGCCAGTGAGGGATACGTCTTCTTCGCGACATGTGTGATGTTGAGATCGAGCGCGTGAGGCGCAGGCCGAAGTTGGACGATTAGTTCATCTCTTCCTGTTTCTTCTAGACTTCTCGTTGCTGAGTTGCCATGTCCGTCTGAGCCATCATCAATGTCGCTCGCAGGTGCGATCCGCATGGTGTAACTGCAGTATCCCTGCTCCTCGAACTCGTCTACCCGACAGCCTGAATATCTGCTCCGTAGAGCTCTTACACACACCTCTTCATCTACTCTAGTCAAGCCAAAGCGGCCCCAAAAACCCTGAGACATGATGTATACTCAGCTCTAACGAGCGTTGGGATGGGAGCTTGCAATAGATTCAAGCCATGGCACAAGATGGGTGCCGCGCCGTCTATCCCGTGCCGCATCAGCGATGACAGGCAGACGCAAGCCTGTTCGCTACACATGCTGGAGCCTGAGATTGCGTGGTGTGTTGCACTTGGTCGTGGTTCGCTGAAATGCTGCACGTGGGAGTGGGAAGCGGGAAGATGAGGAGGGTAGGAAAGTGGGGGTGGAAGTGTGATGTGCATCCCCATCAGCTTCCTGTGTAAGCACACCTCGATGAAATTAGTCATGGAAAACGTCGGCCCTCTGAATATAGACATGATCAATAGAATCTGCATATTGGAAGACGATACACTATGTGCCTTCTAAATTATTTCCCCTATTTTAATAGACTGATGATGACAAAAGAACGCCGCGCCAAATCTGAGTTGTCCTCCACCAAAGCCAGCTCAATTGATCGGAAGAATGGTATCATATGTAACCCCCCCAGCTTAATTCTCAAAACACACCGACAACTACACTCCTGCTCCACTTAGAAAACGTAAACGGCAACGGCAAAGGCTGCAGCTGCAATGCCGACGAATGATTGTGCACTGATGGTAGAGATGGCGCCAGAAGTAGACTGAGGAAGTGTGCTGCTGCTGGTTCCGCTTGCACCTCCAGCGGCGCCGCCGCCTGAGCCTCCCCTCGAGCCTCCATTGGAACCTCCGCTGGAGCCTCCGCTGGAACTACCAGTGGAGTTACCTCCATTGGTGGGCGAGGTGCCAGTAGAGCCACCGGAGCCAGGAGCCTGGCCAGGGGTGATGTTCTCGGTGGCTTTGGCAGCGAGCGCAATGAAGGCCTCCATGGTCTTGGCACCGGTTGTGGGTCTGGACATTGCTGTTAGCTTTTGTCTCGAAAAATAATGGACTGAGATGGACGCTTGACGTACGCGTTGATAGCTCCAACCATACCAGCCTGGCAATGCTTAGCCTGTGAGCAGTAGAACCAGATGGGCTTCTTGTCGGTCACACGGATAGTGTATGTCAGGACCTCCTTCTTGGCTTCAAAGGAAGCATTGGTAGGCATGAAGCCAGAGAAGAAGGCCGTGGTCATGTTGGGCATAACGTTTTGGATGGGCGTGCACGGCTTGTCAAAGGTGGCTTGGACGACTGAGTGGTTCTGGATGCATGATTAGCACAGGCACGCGGTGGGTGGCAGAAGCAGCTTCGGGACATACCTTGGGGTGGAACTGGAACTGCACCATGTCGCCTGGTTCGGCTTGGACATTGTTGGGGTAGAAGGCCAAAGAACCGTTGGGTCCTCCGACCTGAACAACGTGCATCATGACCATTCCCGCCATTCCGCTTGCCGCAGGGGCTGGCGGCATGCTTTGAGCGCATGAGAGGCCCGCGAGGGCAGAGACGATGGCTGTCCTTGAAAAGTACATTTTGAAGAAAATCGCAGGTTGCTGAGGGCGGTTGTGTGAATTAGATGCGCAATACGGTATGCGTAATGCTGAAGGTCTCGTCAAGAGAATGTAAAGCGGCTAGCGCTCTGGGGTCGTGCAACTGAAAGGTGGACTAGCCAACGTGTGTATTAAAAGATAAGGCTGGAAAGACCGTAAGGCGTGGTAAGAAAAGGATATGCAAGGAAACCTGAATACAAAGCAAGAGGAAACGTGAGATGCAAGAATGGGACAAGACAGGCCTGAGGAGAGGACTTGAGGGCAGTCTTAAGGCATAAAGGATTTGGACTCTGTGGGCGCGGCGGTTAGCAGTCCATCCGATACATGGGGTTGGGGTTGCGACATGTTGGAGGCGCATAGTGCTTCACCCTTGTGGCTCGGCAGAACCCTGTATGGTGAGGCTCCGGGCGAGGTCCCACTGAGGATGCGCGGCCGTCACGTCTACCAGACGGATGCTGATGATTCTTGTTCTCGCATGTCGTGAATGCACACGGCTGGAGCAATCAAGGCGCAGCAGCAGTTTCCCTGACATTTTTCCCGACATGTACATGCTGGGTGAGGGCTGTGTGGCGTAGACGACGTGGTGAAGCTGGTGTTGGTGCGAGGCGGTGCGGTACCAGGGGTTTTGGCGATGCGACGCGCTCCGCGTTCCGTCTGTGTTTGAGGGCACTCATACCGCGCTTCAGACGGCGTGTGGCAACGGGAATCACTAAACCGACCAAGCTAGGCACCCGGAAGTTCTGTTTGCGAGATTGTGCATGACACTGTGGGCGGGTTATGAACACGATGGCGCTGGGCACGATGTTTGAATGGAGACCCCATGGCCAAGTGATGCAAACCTGTCAAGATGTTGCTCCCTTCATTTGCTTGTCATGTTGTTTCAGCCTCGGATCGGCTCTATAGATAGTTACACACTATTTCGGGCTCTGATATATGGGTAATGTGCTGCCTTACCCGCTGCGATGTGGTCGAAGGTGCTGCACCACCAAGGCCTTGGCTCAGTTGGCGCCCCATATTCTGGACCACTGCCCGAGCGGTTGGATCTTGTTTAATCCAATGTATCAAAACAGCCTGTGTATTCAAACGACCAAGGTCTCGGATTGCCGCTGGTAACGATGATACATATTCGTCATGGTTGCTGCTTGTGGACATGAATTGCCTCGGTAAACGTCCTGGTCGTGCATGCATGTGGATTGCTCAAAAGTCGAGCACAAGCTGTGGTGTCAACCTCTCGAGATCTTCGACCTGCAAGAATCCGTCGACAACACCGCCGTCCTTGGCGGCGGCCTTTCTCTCGTCTTTGCTCCTCAAGAAGGCCTCGGTAACGAAGATGTCAATGTACTTGCCCACCAGCTTCATTGCACCCGTCTGAATCTGCATAGTGGGGTCGTCAAAGTTCTCGAGGAGCAGGCGCGCCAGCAGCGGCCGAGGTATGACGGGTTCAGACAAGGTCGTGTTGGCTGGCGGAGGATTGGAGCGAGCTGGCGCAGTCGTGGGGCCGACGTCTTGCATTATCGAGTCAAGGTCGTCACTGTCAATTTCGTCTGCGAGTTCCTCGGCTGCAGCGTCGTCATCGTCATCGTCGGACAGGTCAATGACTTGGGCTGGCGGCTGGAAGCCTTTTTTGGACGCGGCTGCATTGCTCTTATTTCCACTTGGGCGAGATGCCGACGCGGTCGCAGCGCGTTTGGCCGTCGTGGATGCTTGGGCGGCGGCGTTGACGGGACGCGGGGGGTTGAAGGCAGGCCCCTTTCTGCGGGCGGTATTGGCTCCCCCGTTTTTCGGTGGCATGGTGTATTGAGGCCTTGACGGGGTTAGGGGGGTATTGGTTCAATTGGTGCGCGGGGTGCAGTGACGCTCGCACTCGGTGGCAGTGGTGGTGGTGGTGGTGGTGGTGCGCCCGCAGGCGACCGAAGACGACGCGCGCTGTCACGTGCGGCAGCAGAGGCCGCGGGACCAAAGGCCAAGGCCATGGTATTGCATTGCGACATGTGCGTCTTTTTTCGGCTAGCGTTTCATTTGCCAAGACCAAGGCTGATGTGCATGTGTCTACGCCTGTGTCGTTGTGGAGTGGGCGTACAACCTCAACCGAGGGTATATGCTGTTACAGCATTGTCGGGACCACGCATGCAGTGGCATCCAGCATGGCAGATGGGCAAAGTAGCATGTTTCCAAAGCCAGCCAAGTTGCATGCGAACTGCTGTTGCACCGGACTACGGACCCAGACGATGAAGATTGATCCTTCGCGCCCGCGCCACCAGGCTATCTAACGAAAGCTTGACCACAAATCACAGCCCAAGCAACGGGCCGCACGGTCGTGCGTGGGAGCGCGGAGGGACAATGGCGGTACCAGTGTGCTACCAAGACAATATGGGAGTGCTTGGGGGTGCGAGGTGGCGCAACGGAATGGTGGCATGCAAACAAAGGAAGAAAGCCATTGCCCAACTAGTCAGTTCATCAAAGTGAAATGTGTGCGGAGTCGAGGCACAAGGTTGCACCATGCGAGGGGCATGGTTGGACAGCAGTGGCAGCGGGCGCTGGGGAAAGAAAGGGTCTTGACGTGCAGCGCGCATGAGGGGGCCGTCGGTGGATGGATAGCCAAGTCAAAGGGAATTGCTTGTGCCCTCTGGTTTCGGCTGGCGCTGGCGTCCCGCGCGTGGGTTGAGTGTGGCCTGTCGGTTGGACTGGGGCGCAGCGCATCGTTATCTGCTCGGGCGGGACTGCGACGGCAGTTGTGCGCTGGCCGTGGGCGGTGTTGAGCGAGCGAGGGAGGCCTTGAAGGGCGGGCTGAAGAGAGGCGGAGGCGGAGGCGAAGGTGATTCACGGGCGCGGCACCCATCCATCCATCTATCCATCCACCCACCCACCCACTTGGTGTGGCGAGCGTGAGGCCGGATGCGGAGGGGCCACGCGCCGCGCCTTGCCAGAAGCGGGCGGCAGAGGCTGTTCTGGGTAACAATGGGTCGCGCAGAGCATCTGGACTGCGCGGTCGCTGACGACAGCACCGGCGTGGGACGTGTAAGCAGGCAGCGCGGCGGGCTCCAGACTCGCAGGCCAAGAAGGCCAGACAGGCCACGCATGGCCGGCGGCGACATCGTGGGCGAGACGTCGATATCATGCGGCTCATGCTGGGCCGGCTTTGGCGGGGTAGGCGAAGTGGCCCCCCCTCGCCGCCCGACCGGGCCTAGTGCTTCAGCTAGCATCGCAGCGTCAAACCTCAACTCGGCTGGCCGTCGTGGGTAGTGCGTCGTGGGCAGTGGGCAGTGGGCAGTGGGGAGGTGTAGTGCGTCGTGCGTGCTGCACAGTGTGTCGTGTGCGGTGCGTGCCGGGTGGCCTGGCGCACTTGGGGGCGGGCAGTCCGGCTGGCGGCGGTCGTGGTGGTGGACATGGTGGGCGTCGTGGTGGTGGTGGTGGTGGTGGTGGTGAAGGCGGAGGTGAAGGGGTCGCCCTTTCCGCCGCGGGCGGTGTTTGTTATCTCCTGCAAGAGGCAGTGGCGTATCACAGCGAGGGGAGGGGCGGTGGGCACTGCTGGCAGGCGCATCCGTCTGGCAGGCGCGGCAGTCACGGCCATAGTACAGTCGCAGTAAGACGGGCAGTCATGGTGGCCGAGGGCGCGCGCGGGCTGAGAAGAGGACAAGGGCACAGCAACAAAAAGACGGTCGGCATTAGGCGTTCTATACGCGATGGCTTGCTGAGCGTGCTGCGTGCTGCGTGCTGCGTGCTGCGCGGAGCCTGCCAGCCCTCGGCCAGCCGCTCGCGCTTGTCCGCGTCGGTGCAGATAAGGATGCAGGCGCACAGCCGCCGCCTCGCCAGAGCCAACGTCAGAGGCCTAGTGCCGTCTCGCGCAGACACCCCAAACCAGCGCAAGAGACGATGGCGCTGCTGCAACAGCCCATCCTGGTCGCCGAATGCCCATCATCTGCCATGGCCCAACTCCACCCGCCGCCGGTGCTATACATACATATACATTCACGCCCTCCGCTAGCCTATTACATCGCCTGCCGCTTCGCCATTTCCTCGCATCCCCAGCGTCCCGGCCTGCCTGTCTGCCTGTCTGCCTGTCTGCCTGCCTGCCTGCCTGCCTGCCTGCACCCGCCGCTGCCACCGTCTTTCCTTTTTCGCTTCTGCTTCTTCTTCGGTGTCCTCTTCTTCTTCTCTCCCTCCTTCTCCTCCGCTCCCTCTTCCTCTTCCGTCCGCCGTGGGGGGATTCGCTCGTCCGCCAGTCATTGCACCACAGTGCACCCTTACTCAAGAACCCCGTCGCCCCCCTCGACTGCCGCCTCTCTAGATAGCCTGTCCCCACTGCGCCTGCGACCGTCCTCCTGTCTGACGTAGCAACATTAAAGACGTGCATCTTCAGCGGCCCGCGCACTTGCACGTTGCACCAGCACCATCTTCATCTATATCTCGGCCAATCCCGTCCATCCTTGTGCTCTAGGCAGCCCGCTCGCCGCTTTCAAGCAAACACCACACACACGCACCAACACACCAGTCACTGGCCAAAATATCCACTCTCCCTTGGTCGCTTGCTCCTCTCACCCTCTCGCCCGCTCACTCCAGCATGCCTCACTCGGCCAACAATTCCACGTCCACTCCCACCAAAATGTCGCGGCCCTCGTCAACCTCAACCTACTCTGGTACTGCTTTTCCCAAACAGGCAGGTGCCGCCCTGTTGTGCCCCGACAACACTGGAGCAGGACAGCCCTCGCCCTCGCAGTCGCAGTTCTCGTTTACATCTTCGCCCTTTTCCATGCTGGAAATTGAAGACAGTTCGCGCCAATATCCCCAAAGCACAACCGAGAATGCCTACGGTTCGCTGCGGCCCATGACGTCCAGTGCGCGTGCAAAGTTCTTCGAAGACCAATTCTCCTACAGAGGGACCGTCATCTCGTCGGCTCGCGAGCGCATCTCCAAAGACGCTCCCATTGTCGCTGAGTTGCGCACCAATGTCATCGTATGTTTGCTTCCCGTCCTGCTCCACCCTGGGTGCAACTCGACAAATCACTAACCCGGCGTAGATCAAGGACGAATACACCCTGGTCACCGACTTGTCGCACCACCTCTCAACGCGCTACCAAAGGCCCGAGGCCTCCATCATGATCACGGTCAATCACTCTGCATGCCTTCTTCTTGGCGGATCCTTTGAGCCGACTTACATCCTGACCATCAACGCGCTGCCCGTCCAAGTCCAGCCCATGACCAACAAGCGCAATGCAGCTCTCATCCAAACCTTCATGGCCGAGTCTATTGGCGTTCCAGCCGACCGAGGCATCGTCAAGTTCATTCCCATTGTCGAAGAGAATCTGGCGACCAACGGCATGACTATTCTAGGCGAAATTGAGAGGCTGGAGCGCCAGCAGGCCGATGAGAACGGTACTACCAACGTCAAACGCGGCAGGACCAAGAACTCGCGCAAATCCTCCGTGTTCAAAGCCAAGAGCACCATGCAGCTCTCTCATGGCTCTTCCAAAACCGACCTAGCCTTGAACCCAGCCATCACCTCCGAGGTTCCCCTTGACGGACCACTCGATTCCGCAGTGGCCATCAATGAAACGGCCATGGACGAAGAGCCTGTCAAAAGCAAAATGACCAACAAGAAATCCGAGCCCATGCTTTCCATGTTCAGCAAGAGCAGCAGCGCCAATCTAGCACAGCGGCCCATCACAGCCGACCGGCCCGTCACGCCAGGTATCAACAAGCGTCACAGCTTCTTGAAGGTTTTCCGTCGATGAGGGGCCAACACACAATGTTCGACATTCTTTACCGTTTATCATTTTGTTACAAATGTGTTGCAGGGGTTGCCCTGCGACAGAAACCTGCCTTTTGTGTACACACACACACACACACACACACACACATCCCAGCATCTGTCAGATTTTGCATGTCGCACCACGATTACACGTCGACATGCGACCAAACAGCATTGTAAGGAGTTGGGGAAACATTCATCGTGGTTTCAATACTCTCTCCATACCAATATACCCCCTCGCATTTCCTTTGTTCCCAGCTTTCTGGTATTTACATAGAGACATTAATAGCACGATTTATTGATTACCACATTATCTTGCAGCATCACACGGCTAGCGCACATGGCGTTTGCCGATGATCCACAGACAGAGTTTGGCCAAGAGAAAGGGGCCGCCATCAACGCACACCCCATGTCTCATCGTTTCCTGCGCGCGGACGCGGTTCGGTCGCAGACTCAACAACCCGGAACACTGATCGCACAGCCTCCGTTATCGCGTCTTCTTTTCGACTCCTCTTAATCCAACCTCATGCCTTTTTACGCCGGATTGCCGACAACCCCCGCTGTTACCGCTGCGCCAAACCCGGACCTTATGCATGCACATTATAGCGTCTGTGTCAACCATTCTTCTTCTTCTTCTTCTTCTTCTTGCCGAGTTTTTTTTCCTTCTTTTCAACTCGTATCGAGAGCCACCGTGACAAGAAGAGAGAAGGAAGAAAAAAACCCCCCACAAGACAGCATATTGGAAGTTAACCATGGTCTATGTAGGTGTAGGCTCGGTGCGCAAAGAAACCGTTTGACATAAGCTTATATCTATGGACGTAGCTAATGTATGTATGTATGCAAGCTTGCGTGCTAGCGGCACACACATACCCCAAGTAGTATGTATACGTAACGACCAATAAGCGCTATTGGCGCTAGGGCCCCCTCCAAAGAAACAATAGTTGCTGGGTTGCGTGAGGAGAAGCCCTAAGCACCCCGAGGGGAACCGTTGAAGCCAAGTAGGTGTCTGTAAGTAGTGCAATCCAGTCTATCATTTCTTCTTTTCTCTTCTTTTTGGGCATGTGTGATCCAAGTCTGCTCTTTTTTTTTCATTAGCACTCCTCACTGTTTTCCTTTTTTCGCTTTCGCTGTTTTTGCTAGTGTCCGTCCATGGTCAGTATCCATGTTACATACCATACATATACTATATATCAGCTGTTTTTTTTATTCCAGCCCCGGAAATCCGGGAACCTGGGCGGCGCAGAGTCAGGGGCTTTTGTGGGATGCGGGGGTTTGAGAATAACTAGAAGATGCTATGCAGCTGCATATCGTGCTGTGCTGTGGAACAAAAATATGTAGTTGTTAAATGGATATGCTAGGGGTGTAGGCCACAGCTTAACTGTTTAGGGCAAAGGCAGGTCTAAAGTACCAATAAATGTTAGCCCAATCTAAAATATCTGTGCGTAGCGTTATTCTCTAGCGCACAGATAGAAAAGAACAGCTTTACCCCCCCTTTTATAGCTAACGTGGTTCATAAGCGAGTTAGTCACCTAAGCGAGTTGGTCACTCCCCACTAGCGCGTCGACGTTGATACCACAACGCGTTATGTCTTAATAATATAACTATTAATTAACTTATCCTAAATTAGATTTTTAACTTACTTTTTTTAAATATCTAATTACAATATGTTTAAAGCTAAAGACGCGATGCCTCTATCTATAACGTGCCTTAAAGTATAATATCTAATTAACAGGCTAGAAAGCACCCCTAACGCAACTATAAACTAAATTTAAAGCGCCTAAATAAGTTAGAAGAGGAGGCTATTATTAGACGTATTTTTAAAGAGTCTGCGCGTGGATTTACCCCTACAAAGGCTAAGGTTTAAGCAATAGCTAATAAACTATTAGAGGAGCGTAGTAGCAACCCTATTAGTGTAAAGGGCTACGCCAGAGAGGTATGACCTACAGGTCACATAGTAGTGAATCACATGACTTTAGTTACGTAACCAAATAACGTAGTTAGCTACGTATAAACAAGCTTAAGTAAGGAGGAAGACTAAAGGTCTAAGCGTTCGTACGAGTAACAACTATAAAAAGAGGGCCCTCTAGATAGTTCTTTTCTATATCTTTCTTCTTCTATATAATAAGTAAATGCATACTTATTAGTTAGGCCTCTCTTGCCTATAATATAAGAAGAAAGATTAACACTCTTTAATCTCTCTTGTACGACACAAGAGAGACTAAAACAATGTAAGAAGAAAGAGATAGAGTTATAAGGAATGCTACTAGCCTCTAGCCTAGCTATGCTAGACAAGGAATCTATCGCCTTTATCTATACAATAAGAGGAAATATCAACTAGCTAACAGCTAATAACATACAACAGGCTAAACAGCTTAAGAGACAGGTAGTTACACACTAGGAAATAATATCCTAGATTAAGCTTCTAATAAGGCAACTTTAAGAAGCCTATACAATGTTAAGGAGTGGTAGAGCTACTTGATATATCAGCGGTAGCTCTGGTTGATCGATAGATCTAGCACTCGGCAGGTATTTGCTAGGGGAGAGGAGATTGAGTAACTGAAGTAAAACTGTGATCTGATTGACTGTCTAGTAGACTGTTGGG